ATTCAATCATAATAGCAATCAAAGAACGAAAGATGAACGAGAGTTTAAGTGAAAGAAGGTTCAAACGATCTTACGGGAACAAAAGAATAAGAAAAAAAAGGTATGAAAAAGTGTAATTTCTTGAATAATCTATGAATTTGTTTGACATTCGTTATCATTTCAACCTATAACTGTGATTTGGCTCTATTCCCTAATCTAATTCAACGACCGTTTCTCTATCTATTTAATTAAACGAGCTAAAAAAATTCTTCTCTTCCCTCTCTCTATTACTTACTTGAGAAGGCTAATGCCATTTTCTAGGAGTGCGTTAATCTTTCTATTAAAGGACAAGTCAGTGTACTCCATTAACTCAGGGAAGGTTGAATCATAGTCAGTCTATTCATTCCAGTCCATCATTCGAAACAAAGGAATAGCACGTTTGTGATCTAGTTCCTAACTTAACGCATACCCAGTGTAGTAGTCAATGTAGCAGTAGCTCCCATCCACCCTTTTCTTTTACCAACAGTAAAGTTTCACGAGCTGCAAGGAATTTTAATTCTCGATCCCGATAAGGAAAATGAATAATTTATAACAAAACTTTCGTGTTGTTGATTTCTAGGTGTAGTGTTTCTTCCTCTCCACTACCTATTTTTATATCGGTGGAGTAGGGTCGACTTAATCCATAAGTTACACTTGTCGCTCGATATTAGAATCAACAATTAAAACATCGGAATTTTTTTATTTGAAAATTGGACCGGGAAGGATTGAATATTTGTTTGAAGAACAATGGCATAAAATCAAGGAGGAGATCTGACATCTGGCAGTCTTCATTGAATCAGCAAAGGATAGAGATTTGAACAATGTACGTGCTTCCATTAATGAACATCACCACCCCCTTTCTCTCTTTAAATTACTCCAATTTCTCATAAAATTGTGAATTAAATTTCAATGGAAGGCGTTTCGGTGGGCCGTGGGCGGCGGAAGACGGTGCAGCTTGGGGCACCCGGGGGGAAGCGACGGAATGTGTGGCAGTTCAAGGTCTCGCCGAAGCTCAGGCGACTCCGGCGGCTGCCGTCGCTGAAGAAGCTGCTTATATGGTTGAGGGATTCTTATATGAATGCGATGCTGGCGTTTGCGAGCTCTAGGGTCGTTGGTTGCGGCGGCGGTACTGGCGATGGGGTCTGGGCCGGCGCTGGCGGAAGGGCCACGTTGAAGGAGTATGATGAGGAAATGATCATGGAGATCTACAAGTCGTTGGTGGTGGCTCAGGCGCGGTTGCCTCCGCCGGAATCTGTCCGGCCGAGTTGGGTCGGCGGCCGGTTGCCTGCTGTGGCGGAATAATCCGGTGGAGCAGGGGAAGGATATTCTATCCTTGATTTTTTTTTTTTTTTCTGTTTTTCTGTTTCTTTGTAATAAATTAATTAAGATATTAATATTAAAAATTAAAAATAAATAAATAAATAAATGGGGTCTGAAATATACTTAATTAAAAAAAATGTTAAGTGCAGTAATAAGTTAGTTAGTCAGTTAGTTAATTTAGTTAATTTTAATAATAATCACGTGATGGAACGTCTATTCTTATTTTAAGTTTAATTACATTAATTCAATTTTAACTAGAAACTTCGTTTCTTAAAATCGCTGTAATTTTGGTTTGTAATTAGGGGTATTTTAGGTATTTTAAGGATATTCGTACAATTAAAAAGATTTTTTTTTTCTTTTTCAAAATAGTTATTTATATAATAATTGAAGATTAAATTATGTACTTAATTGTTGTTATTTTTATGATTGTATTGATTTTCATTTAATCCTACCCTCCTTCATTTATTAATCCCAACCGTGTTAGCCCATTAATGTTTTTAAATATTATTAGTACGTACATAAAAATTAATATCCATTACTGACATTAAAAAATTTACGTGAAATTTTATATCTTAATTCCACAAAAATAAATAGCACATATGGAGACCAGAAAGTTGTCATCATCCTCATCAGTTTTCGTCATCTTCATCCCGCTTGGTGGACATTTGTAGTGACGGGTGAAGAATTAACCATGAAAATACTATCGACAAGATCCTACCCATGACGTGATTAATTTAAAAACGAATAAAAAATTTCCATTAAACTTCAAATAAGAATTTGATCCAACTTCTTACAATATCACATTTAATTTTAATTTTTGAGAATCAGGCGCGATAAATATCGGAATTCAACCACATAATAAATTTACAAAAAATTAATTTTAAATAAAATAAAAATAATCCTATAAATAAAGTATTGTAATTATTAAATAACTCGAAACAAGAGGTTATTATCAACACAACTCTCGTATAATACCAAATGAAGATCGTGGTATACAATTATGTCTTATTTTAAGTTAGATATAAGGTATGCGTTCCCTTAATAAAAAAAATGGGGACCATGCCCATTATTATTAAATTCCAGAGCATTAACGATATTAATTAATTCGAAAGTTAGGGTGGATATAGCCTAAATAGTGTTCTACCCAAAAATATATATTTTAATATTTTTTTATCATAATTTCAACTATGATTGCGAGATCCTACGTTGGTTGGAGATAGGAATGAAACATTCTTTTTATTGGTTTGGAAACTTCTCCCTAGTAGATACGTTTAAATCGACGATAAACAAGGGTGTTGAAATCGTGAGGTGGACGACAATACCAGGATGTGAAAACCTCTCTCTAGTAGACGTATTTTAAAATCGTGAGAACGGACGATGATACTAAGGTGTGGAAACCTTTTTTTAATACACGTTAAAAACCGTGAGACTGATGACAATAATTAACCACTCAAAATAGACAATATAACTTAGGGTGTTTGAAGATTATTGGTAAAATTGAATTGGGAGTACAATATATTTTTTTTTTTTTGAGAGTGATATGATTTTAAAATTTTAAATTACTAAAATTATAATTTATATAAATTATATTTAAAGTTCATTTACAGATCTCCAAAATTAAAACATGTGATTAAAAAAAAAAGAGGAGAAAGAAAAAAAAACACAAAAAGCGTAGGATGATGGTGGACGCCAGGCTGGCCTAGAAGGCCATGTACGGCACGATCTGCCTCCACGTGGGACCCTTTACAATCCAGCTCTCCTAATAATCACACGCGGATGCTGAGCTGTCATCTCCAGTCCTATCGTACAAATTGCCCACAGGCTACTCGATATTTGACCGTCTCCTCCACGTGCTCTCTTCTGATTCGGTATTTGTTTTCACAATTTCGGCGCCTTTTCCTTTTATTTTCGCTCCAATATTTCTTTTTAATTTATAAAAAGTAATAATTTATATTGTTATTGTTTTCTTTGAGATTTGTTCGAAAACATAAATAAATGGAAAATACATATATTTCTTAAAAAATTAACAATTGCGTTATTATGCGTATGGTACAGGTGGCTTTAGATTCTGCGGGGTCCATTCACGAGGACAAAATTGTCATTTCGTATTAAAAAAATCTGTACATGTTTTAAAGATCAATGTCCTGTCGGTCGATTTTGGGGTTTTTGTTTTGAAGAAAATTAATTTGGGGGAGAAGTAAATCAATAAAAACAAGGCTTTAAATAATATTTTATTTATTATATATTATATATTTTCGTACATATTTTGTCAATATAATCGGGGAATCTTTTTTATTTTTTCTATTGACTTATTACTCTAACTATTAATTATAAGCTATTCTTAGACCACCATCATTTCTTATTATTTTAATTATAATTTAATCGATTAATTCGTATATTAAGTATGGTTGAACTAAAAAATTGATATAGTAATTTATCAATATTAATATTAATAATTAATTGAATTTGTAATTTAATTTAATATTGTTTGTCGGTAGGATGAAAGATTGAAATAATATATACTTATGGTTTAGAGATAAAATACTATTTATTTAATAGGTGCAAAGATACAAACCAAAAAATAAGAAAAAAAACGCCGTTGCCGGGGATCGAACCCGGGTCACCCGCGTGACAGGCGGGAATACTCACCACTATACTACAACGACTTTTTGACGTTCATTTGAAATTTATTGTATAGAAAAATAACGAGGTTAAATCGAAAATAAACGCCGTTGCCGGGGATCGAACCCGGGTCACCCGCGTGACAGGCGGGAATACTTACCACTATACTACAACGACTTGCTGATTTAAAAATGTTTATTTATTTAATTTGACTCAATTTACTTTCAATAATTTTTTAAATTTAGTATTAATTTTCTAAAAAATATATTATATTTTTCTTACATAAAAATCATAGTTATTATTATTTAACTAAATTGAAAATTTACTAAAAACATAAATTCACTTCAATTTTGAACACACATGGTTTAAAAGTTATGGGTATACTTTTTTACATTCAAAATGTAATAATGCTGACAATAAAATGATAGCATGAAATAATAAAAAAGAATTTAATTTTACTGAGAATAAAATATGATGAGAACCACAAAATAAAAATCTCATTAAATGAAAACCTGACTACAAATTCAGAACACCAGTAACTCATCTAATGAATGTACTAATTTCCCATAATAGTCCTTATATTTAATCTTTGACCAAATAATAAATACATCCGGTAAAATTATTATTTTTGTATTAATTATTGGTTAAGTTATTTCAAGATTAATAATATTTATTAATTTTATAAATAGTGTAACACTTGATCTTAGTTTTAATATTATAATTAATTTTTAGTTAAAGAGATGCGAAAAGAAAAAAATAAAAAGGCTGAGGAGTGCAGAATACGTACACGAGTACATCTGGCCAAGTGGGTCCCACCTCTCATCCCTGAACTGACAGCGACAGCTGTCTTTTTTCTGTCCCACGTAAATTTTTATTTTTAATTATTAGTTTAAAAAAATAAACGACAATAATCTAATTTTAATTTATTTTATTTTATTGTTTTACCTCTCTATAATAATTTAATTAAACAAATTATTTTTTTTATAAAAATTATTGATTTGTATTTTCTGGTTGTGCTTTTCTATGGTGGAAATCCAAAAGCTGAAAAGAAAAACGAAATTAAAAAAAAAGGAAAAAAAAAAGTCCTCTCTTTCTATCTTTCTCTCTCCTCCGCTTTCTGTTGTACAGCTGCGAGTTGTCTGTGGCTCTGGTTTTGTGTTTCGCCTTCTCCTCTTCCCGGGAATCGATACCAATCTGAAAAATCGAGGAGGAGGAGGACGAAGAACAGAGCGTTTTACGGCAGCGAGAGGGAGGGGATTTTGCTACATTCTGGTCACCGGCGAACTTCCACCGGTGAGTCTTCTTCTTTGCCTTTGTTATTTTGTTTACTTCCATGTCCACTGAATGTTGCTGCGGCTATTTCTTCTCTGAGGCCGGTTTGTATCCACGGCATCCTCCTCTCTACTTTGGTTCACTCATGCACTGGCTTAAAATTCGATTCCATTCCTCTGTTTGATGTTCAAGAAGATCGATTCATCGATTCTGTTTTCGTTTCCAACTCTGGCTGATTCTAGAAGAGAAACCCTAGGTTTTGTCCGTTTTTCGATTTCACCTAATCTGGATAATAATCCGTTTGATTTTAAGTCGAGGAGGAAGGGGAAAAGGGCGATTCGAGGAGTGAAGATGTTGTGGATTATGAGATTCTCCGGATTCTTCTCTGCCGCTATGTTGATGGTTATTCTCTCTCCATCTCTTCAATCATTTCCTCCGGCGGAAGCCATTCGATCCTCTCATCTTGACTTTCATCTCCGGCAGTCGGTTCCACTTTCGCTCTCCGATTCGCACACTCGGTTTCTGTTCCGTAGGTCGCCGTCGTATCGCAATGCGGAGCAATGCAGTTCGAGCGACTCGAAGTTTTCTGGTAGACTTGGTGTTTGCGATCCGAGTTTGGTTCATGTTGCGATTACGCTTGATGTTGAGTATCTCCGCGGCTCAATCGCCGCTGTGAATTCGATTCTGCAGCATTCGCTTTGCCCGGAGAGCGTGTTCTTCCATTTCCTTGTTTCTGAGACTAATCTGGAAGCTGTTGTTAGATCCGCTTTCCCTCAGTTGAAATTTAAGGTCTATTATTTCAATCCAGCGATTGTTCAGAATCTGATTTCGACGTCGGTGAGGCAAGCGCTTGAGCAGCCGCTTAATTACGCGAGAAACTACTTGGCAGAGCTTTTGGAGCCCTGTGTTCGGAGAGTGATTTATTTGGACTCCGATCTCGTCGTTGTTGACGATATCTCGAAGCTTTGGAGAACTAATTTAGGTTTCAGAACCATCGGAGCTCCGGAATACTGTCACGCAAACTTCTCGAAGTACTTCACCTCTCGGTTTTGGTTGGATAAGCGGTTTTCCGGCACGTTTCTTGGCCGAAAACCTTGTTACTTCAACACCGGCGTGATGGTTATAGATCTGGTTAAGTGGCGGCGGGCCAGCTACACGAAGAGGATAGAACGATGGATGGAGATTCAGAAAAACGATCGGATCTACGAACTCGGATCTCTCCCACCGTTTCTTTTGGTCTTCGCCGGTGATGTAGCGCCTATTGAACACCGGTGGAACCAGCACGGCCTCGGCGGCGACAATGTGAAAGGAAGTTGCAGGAATCTCCACGCCGGTCCAGTGAGCCTTCTTCACTGGTCTGGTAGTGGAAAGCCATGGATGAGACTGGACTCAAAGAATCCCTGCCCTCTTGATTCACTCTGGGCTCCATATGACTTGTACGGCCACTCCCACTGAACCACCACCGACCACCTTCAGCCGTCGTCGGTAAGTGCTCAAAAGACTAAAAATCCCTCCCTGATCATTCCCCTTCTTCAACCTCTTCCCCAAGGAGGACTGTTTTGTCTCCTAATTTAGTCCTCCAAAATTCCCCCATTCTTTTCCTTCTCCATTAATTCATATTTTCTTCTCCCTTTTTCTTTACAGATTTTCATTTAATTCTCTCTTCCTTTTTTGTTCCATCATCGTCTTCCTTCATACCATTTGTATTCTACTCTACCCCATGATTATTATTCCTTGTTCTGAAAATAAGAAATAGAAGGATAGCCACAAAAAAGAAAAAAAAAAAAAAATTGTTGTATAGACTCCCATGGGTTTGTCTTTTCTTTCTATCTATAGATGGTATGTTTCTTCATGTTTGATATCTGTATTGATTTTGGATTTAATGCCATTTTAGCTTCTTTCTTTCATTTTGCGTAGATTCTGCTACCCCCCATGCTTTTTGGATATTAGTTCTTATTTTCTGATCAACCCATCCCTGATTGCCCATTTGAGGAACTAACTTTTCCTCCTCTGGGATTCTGATCAAAACTTTAATCTCTGATTCTGATAGAAACGTTTTTTTTCTAATAGATTTGCCATCAATGATGATCTGATCGATCAAAGTTGTGACAAATATTGTTGGTTAGTGTAGAAAGTAGGCCACGGGCTCTATGAGATTATTAGAGGTAGCTTTGTTCAAGGGGAAGAAGAACAAAGAACCATGCCAGCCTTGTGAGCCACCCTCCTCTTTATTCATTCCCTCACACCCCTTACTTTCTTTCTCTTTTCCTGCCCGTGAGTTTTCCAAATTAAAAAAAAAAGAAAAGAAAATTAGAAAACGAAGAATGTGGGACCCATGTAGGATTAGGGGGAGAGTTGAAATATGATGACACGTGGCCAGCTACACGTGGTAGTGATGTGATGGAATCAAAGGCGTTGGCATATGCCAGTCGGCACAATGATTGGGATTATTCTTCATTTATTATTAATCTTAATTTAATTTTAATTTAAAATCTAATAATCCTTTTTTTTTTTAGCTTACAATGTCCTGGTGGTGACGTACCCACCGTAACATGCCTGTTGTACCTTTTTCATTGGTCGTTTTCTTTTTCATAATATTTTAAATTAATTTTTTTCTTCTATATTAAAAAAAATGTATTATTAGTTGTATTTATTATTATTATTGGAGATGTGATTATGACATGATAACTGTTATATTCAACTTGAAGGGCAACTGGAATTTTTAAATATAAAAGAAATTAACTATTAAATTCAAATGACATGATATAATTAATTAATTATATAAACTAATATAATTGTCCATATTCAGTAATTAACAATGTTTTTTTCCGCAAATATTTGTTAGTTTATTTAATTAGGTATAGATTATTGAAACCATAGATATAAGAACATTTATATATATATATATTTAACGAGAAAATCTATTAGATTAAAAATGGTTAGTATTCACAAAAACAATTAAAAATAAAATAGTTTGAGTTTTTTAAAATTTAAATTTTACTCTTCCATTTAACATGGCACCATCAAATTTTTAGATGAAAGGATATCTATTTGTCGATAGGTACTAATATTCTTGCTCCCTATTTGATCTAGCCGACATGACATCTTAGGATGAATATAAAAGTAAAAATAAAAATAAAATAAAATAAAATAAAATAAAAATATGTATTTATTTATTTATTTGTAAAGTCGGTTCAAAACATTTATATCATAATTTTTTTTTATAAAAAATGATATTTATCTTATATTAACTACGTTTTTTCATTAATTTGTGTTATTATATGTTTGTCATGTTGGATATGAGGTTGAATACGTTCGGATAATGATTTCTCCAAATTAGGTTAGATGGTCTTTATTGATGTTGGTGTCTTACGAGTCGAGGCTCTTCCAGCAAAACTATTATATCGTTCCATTCAAATTATTAGATTTGAATTTTGTTTTAGCGTATATATTTTTTTTTAATACGTGACTATATCTAATATAGTCTTGTTTTCTCGTCCTAAATCACAATTTTACAAAATTGTATTGTGCTTAGAGTCGGAAATCAATTCTACTCTCTATTAACTAATTTTTGTACACAATGTTCTCGTACTATTCATTATGATCGGATCATAATGTCTCGATAGATTTACGAAAATGGATTAACCTTCAGTCTCATTTTTCTTGAACTTTTCTATTTTTACATTTGGTAAGGATACTTATATATTGAATAATCATCGATCAGATTGATAAAATATTAACAATATTCTTTGACTTTTGCATTAATCAGACCATTTGGGTCAGAATGCATAAGCCCGAAACGCTCTTTGGTCTTCCAACCTTATTCAATAAAAGCCCAATGATTATCTTGCTTGAAAAGCGAGATCTATAGATATGTAAAGTAATTAACTCGAGCGTCTAGAGAATTATTTTTTTTACTAGTCTTTTCATTGTATTCCATTTGACATTAATCAAATGAACAGCCAAAGACAAGTATCATCTTTTGGAGAAAAACAATTTGTCTTTTTATTCTTGATTCTGTAATCATAAATATCTCAATGTTGCGTAGCAGAGTAAGTGTTAACATTTTAACACATACTAATTGTACTTAATTTGAGCGGAACATATTTTCAAACAATTTTGAAAATATAAACTTTAATATTTCAAATATAATAAAGTTTGAGAAATTGAATTTTTCTCGTGGTTACTAAAAACACCATGTTCAGCATTTAGTAACAATTTTTACTTAACATCTTAATGTCCCCCGCTACACGCACTGAGATTGATTTCCTAGTACCAACGGGTAGAATATATTCTACCTCATCAAGTATTTTTCAAGAATTACATATAAATGTAATGAAGAACAAATCTTGACAGTAGATCTTAAATTAAACAATCGAGAGAATTTAAACGTAATATTTGAAATATATAAAATATTATTTAATTAGAAACAATCAACTATCCATTCAATTTCAGTATAAGAACAAACAATTTTATCAAATGAACCTTATAAACCATTTCTAATGCTATGGTACTTTAGTGATTTAGAACAAGTGCCGCCGTAGAATAGGTCAGGTGTTCGTTCACTGAACTGAGACAATCTCAACCAAATATTATACCAGAATAACTCTTATTCCTATAATATTTAGTTACCATTAGTTCGGTCAAGAGCATCATTAACGACCTTAATGATTTCTTTGTAAATGTAACCCATCATTTTAGATTTTGTAGTTTTATCCCAACAAGTACCGCCGTAGGGTAGGTCGAGTATTGGAAATAAAATTACTATCTTATCCTTCTCAAGAGTTTACCCTGATATTGACCCATGCAAACACCTTCCGTAGGGAGACGGTCCAAAAGCCGCCACGAGGCCCCGCATGGATCTCACGTTATGAACCAATTATGGAGACCATAGGATATGTTGACACATTTCCTTCTCCCATTTACTATAAATACTTTCCCAAGATATTCACCTTGATATTGACTCATGCAAATACCTTCTGTAGGGGGACGGTCCAAATACCGCCACGAGGCCTCACATGAATCTCACGGTATGAATCAATAATAGAGAACGTAGGATATCATGACATGTGTTCTTAATATCTTGATATCTTGACAAACGTCCTTCTTCCACTAAGTATTTTGAAATAGGGTTTTCTATTACTCAGACAAATTAGGCTAATCTCATTTATCTAAGTTTCCAATCTACCCTTTCATAACCCTTATGTTGGTTGGATTGTTTTCTACGTGAATTACCAAGTTTTTAAACTATTAAAAACTAATCACATTATGAGCCTACTTAATGAAATTAAATAAAATTGATCGACATATTTGGCATATCCTAGAAATTGAAATTGGATTAAATTACAAGAATTTAAGTCCAATTCATATATTGGATTAAATTATGTTATTATAACTAAGTTTTTTAATTAATTTATGTTATCATATGTTTGTGAAGTTGGATCTGAAGTTGAATACCTTTGAATAACGATTTCTCCAAATTAGGTTAAATAGTCTTCGTTGATGTTGATATCTTACGAGTCGAGGCTCTTCAAGTAAAATTATTAAGTCGTTCAATTTAAATTATCATATTTGAGTCTCGTTTTAGTGTAGGAGAAAGGAATAAAGCAAGAGAATCATGAGACCCTCCACCTATGAGAATATGGGATACCCTACAAGAAGTGACCCATCCCATAGTCGGTGCCTTTCAAATGGACATTGAAAGCTTAGAAATTTAGGGCACATTAAAAAATATGTTCTTTTGGGGACCATATGCAATTTCTTTTACTCATCGAACTTATCAGATTAAAAAAATTCAATTCTTTCGTCTACTCGATTTCATTTAAATTCAATTCAAACTAAGAATGTTGATTAATCCACCACACCTAACTGATGTGAAAATTATCTTATTTATAATCAAATAAATTACAAGGATATGAAAATAGTAATAAATGGAAATAACAATAAACGGAAAGATACCTAAGAAGCGAGACTATAATTTAGTATATATGGTAATAAAATATAAATATGATATATATGGTAAACTATAATTTAGTATTAAATAACCTTAACACAAACCCACATAAAAAAAACTATTCTTTCTAATTGAGTTAATTCGAAATTCGATNAAATAATGAACACCATAGTTCATAGGATAAACAAAAAAAAAAAAAAAAAAAAAACTCTCTAACCCTCTAATTAATCCAATTCAAAATTTCAAAATTAGATCTATGAGTAGTTCATAAGATAAAATGAAGCAAAATTAGTAGTGTTCTTATGCTATTGATACTAGTATAATTAAGCATAATTGTTCGAGCTATAAATATATTAATTTTATCTAGTTAATTAATGTCTAATGAATAATTAATGATTACTAGAAAAAAATGACTTAATTTAATTAATTAACGTAATAACGGAAGATTCTGAACACAAAATTAGCTAAAATTAATTAAATATAATCCTAATTTTAGAAAAAATCAGTACCCACCAGCTAAATTTAGATAAAGAAAAATCAAAATTTTATTTAAAAAAAAAAAAAATACCAGGATGCTCCAACTTTAACTATATTAACGGTAATGTCGGAAATTAGTTAAAATGTTCAACTATAAAAACAGTCGATTGTTGAACAGAAGAAATCAAGCAATTCTTCAGCTTCCAATTTCCCATTTCCCATTTCCCATTAGCCAACAAAAAAAAAGAAAAAAAGAAAAAAAAAGAAGTGGAATAAAAGATTAAACATGGCATATGACCGCGGTGGATGCAAGAACAAAATCGCTACCTTTATGCTGTTATCTCTGTTTCTAGCCGCCATGGCGGTGGCGGCCGACAATGTCAACGACAATGCTAGTGGTGGCAGCACAGCGGGGGACGTTGTGTCCACAGCAGCGGTTAAGTCCCTGTGTCAACCGACATCTTATCGCGAAACCTG